AGAATATTTGATTTAGATTATCATCGGCCCAGCAGTGAATGCCAGGATCACAAAAAATTGAGAATAGTCTCATTTGAGTGCGCCCCTCCACGAAAATCTTTAGTAAAAGGCGAAAGACTTTATTCGCTCTGAAGGAATCTAAATTAACTTCAAGAATATTTGATTTAGATTATCATCGGCCGCAAGTGATGCCAGGCTCACAAAAAATTGAGAATAGTCTCATTTGAGTGCGCCCCTCCACGGAAATCTTAGTAAAGGCGAAAGATTTATTCGCTTCTGAAGGAAATCTGAATTAACTTCAAGAATATTTGATTTAGATTATCATCGGCCCAGCAAGTGAATGCCAGGCTCACAAAAAATTGAGAATAGTCTTCATTTGAGTGCTCCCCTCCACGGAAAACTGTAGTAAAAGCGAAAGGGTTATTCGCTCTGAGGAAAACTAGAGTGACAACGGGTAGTCCAGGTCTATAACTGTTTGTGTAAAATGACGTTAACTTCAAGAATATTTGATTTAGATATCATCGGCCCAGCAAGTGAATGCCAGGCTCACAAAAATTGAGAATAGTCTCATTTGAATGCTCCCCTCCACGGAAATCTGTAGTAAAAGCGAAAGGTTTATTCGCCCTGAGGGAAACCTAGAGTGACAAAGGGGTAGTCCAGGTCTATAACTGTTTGTGTAGAATGACGTAACGTTCAAGAATATTTGATTAGATTATCATCGGCCCAGCAAGTGAATGCCAGGGCTCACAAAACTTGAGAATAGTCTCATTTGATTGCGCCCCTCTCACTAAATCTTTAGTAAAAGGCGAAAGATTTATTCGCTCTGAAGGGAATCTGAATTAACTTCAAGAATATTTGATTTAGATTATCATCGGCCCAGCAAGTGTATGCCAGGCTCACAAAAATTGAGAATAGTCTCATTTGAGTGCGCCCCTCCACGGAAATCTTTAGTAAAAGCGAAAGATTTATTCGCCCTGAAGGGAATCTGAATTACTTCAAGAATATTTGATTTAGATTATCATCGCCCAGCAAGTGAATGCTAGGCTCACAAAAAATTGAGAATAGTCTCATTTGAGTGCTCCCTTCACGGAAATCTGTAGTAAAAGGCGAAAGGTTTTATTCGCTCTGAGGAAAACTAGGGTGACAAGGGGTAGTCCAGGTGGTATAACTGTTTGTGTAAAATGACGTTAACTTCAAGAATATTTGATTTAGATTATCATCATCGGCCCAGCAAGTGAATGCCAGGCTCACAAAATTGAGAATAGTCTCATGTGAGTGCTCCCCTCCACGAAAATCTTTAGTAAAAGGCGAAAGATTTATTCGCTCTGAAGGGAAACCAGAGTGACAAACAGGTAGTCGAGGCGTTGCTTAACAATATAGGGTCTGTATTTTTGGGACGGCCAGCGTATGAATTCCACAAAGTCAACACAGCAACGACATCTATTCCTATATGCGATAAGTACTTGAACTTCGGGTTTTATTCGCTCGAAAAAGAAAATCCACTGAAATCTGTAGTAAAAGGCGAAAGGTTTATTCGCTCTGAGGAAAACTAGAGTGACAAAGGGGTAGTCCAGGTGTATAACTGTTTGTGTAAAACGACGTTAACTTCAAGCATATTTGATTTAGATTATCATCGGCCCAGCAAGTGAATGCCAGGCTCACAAAAAATTGAGAATAGTCTCATTTGAGTGCTCCCCTCCACGGAAATCTTTAGTAAAAGGCGAAAGATTTATTCGCTCTGAAGGGAAACCAGAGTGACATACAGGTAGTCGAGGCGTTGCTTAACAATATAGGGTCTGTATATTGGGGCCGGCCAGCGTATGATTTCCACAAAGTAAACACAGCAGCGACATCTATCCCTATGTGCGATAAGTACTTGAACTTCGGGTTTTATTCGCTCGAAAAAGAAAATCCACGGAAATCTGTAGTAAAAGGCGCAAGGTTTATTCGCTCTGAGGAAAACTAGAGTGACAAAGGGGTAGTCCAGGTCTATAACTGTTTGTGTAAAATGACGTTAACTTCAAGAATATTTGATTTAGATTATCATCGGCCCAGCAAGTGAATGCCAGGCTCACAAAAAATTGAGAATAGTCTCATTTGAGTGCTCCCCTCCACGGAAATCTGTAGTAAAAGGCGAAAGAATTATTCGCTCTGAAGGGAATCTGAATTAACTTCAAGAATATTTGATTTAGATTATCATCGGCCCAGCAAGTGAATGCCAGGCTCACAAAAAATTGAGAATAGTCTCATTTGAGTGTTCCCCTCCACGGAAATCCGTGGTAAAAGGCGAAAGGTTTATTCGCTCTGAGGAAAACTAGGGTGACAAAGGGGTAGTCCAGGTGTATAACTGTTTGTGTAAAATGACGTTAACTTCAAGAATATTTGATTTAGATTATCATCGGCCCAGCAAGTGAATGCCAGGCTCACAAAAAATTGAGAATAGTCTCATTTGAGTGCTCCCCTCCACGGAAATCTTTAGTAAAAGGCGAAAGATTTATTCGCTCTGAAGGGAAACCAGAGTGACAAACAGGTAGTCGAGGCGTTGCTTAACAATATAGAGTCTGTATTTTGGGGCCGGCCAGCGTATGAATTCCACAAAGTAAACACAGCAGCGACATCTATCCCTATATGCGATAAGTACTTGAACTTCGGGTTTTATTCGCTCGAAAAAGAAAATCCACTGAAATCTGTAGTAAAAGGCGCAAGGTTTATTCGCTCTGAGGGAAACGAGAGTGACAAAGGGATAGTCCAGGTGTATAACTGTTTGTGTAAAACGACGTTAACTTCAAGAATATTTGATTTAGATTATCATCGGCCCAGCAAGTGAATGCTAGGTTCACAAAAAATTGAGAATAGTCTCATTTAGGAGCTCCCCTCCACGGAAATCTGTAGTAAAAGGCGAAAGGGTTATTCGCTCTGAGGAAAACTAGAGTGACAAAGGGGTAGTCCAGGTCTATAACTGTTTGTGTAAAATGACGTTAACTTCAAGAATATTTGATTTAGATTATCATCGGCCCAGCAAGTGAATGCCAGGCTCACAAAAAATTGAGAATAGTCTCATTTGAGTGCTCCCCTCCACGGAAATCTTTAGTAAAAGGCGAAAGATTTATTCGCTCTGAAGGGAAACCAGAGTGACAAACAGTTTTTTAGTTTAGTTTTTATTTCTGTTTTATTACAATATATTACAATATAATATACAATAACCATGATTTATGAGTTTACTACTAAAAGTATTTTACTCTTATTTAATACTACAAACTATCCACTTTAAATTATACATTTTGTTTTAAAAATAAAATAATGGTTTGTGATCGAAAAAAAAGAAAGTTCAAACATTCTTCAAAAAAAAATCACTATCTTTAAATATATATTTAATTTACATTCTTTAAATTATTAGATACTCTTATTTGTGTTGTCCAGAATGTAGTTTGGCATTGGATATTTGCCGTACCATATGATATCAGGCGTGTACTGTCCGAGGGTTCTAATATTATTATTGGTATGGTCTTTGCATTTTTCGTAGAAGTTTTCCGTCATTTTCTTAATGTGGTTAATCACAGTCGGTATGTCTGCTTGTTCGTGTAAGAGCTTTGTTGAGTAGTAGTGTCCGGTAGTGGGTCACGTATCAGGTTCAGTATTAGTCTCAGTGATTTGTTTTGTAAAATTTGTAGTTTTTTAATATTTGTCCTCGATGTCATGTTCCATATTGGGGCAGCATACATCAGACATGGCCTGATCAGCGTTAGATATATTCTTCTTTTATTACGCATATTTAATACACTCTTTGTGTTCAATAATGGTCTTAAAAGATTCAGAAGCCCATATGTTTGCGCCAATTTCTTTTTTATATATGTATTAAAGTTAAGTTTCCTATCAAGCGTTACTCCTAGGTACTTAACTTCATCTGTCCATTTAATTTTTTGTCCTGAAATTTTTATTTCTATAGACTTTTCTTTCAACTTATTTCCTTTCCAAAAAATTATTGCTTCCGTTTTTATGGGATTTACTTTTATGTGCCATTTTTCTGCATATTTTGCTATATTATCTATGTGATTTTGTAGCTTGTTAGCTATCACCGCTACTGATTTTGACGATGTGAACACAGCAGTATCGTCCGCAAATGTTAATGTATTTGTTTTGCTGTCAGTAGGGATATCATATATATATATATATATATATATATATATATACATATATGTGTTAAACAATGTTGGTCCTAGCAAGGATCCCTGAGGCACTCCAGCTACTATACGTTTAGGATTTGAAAGATTATTATTTACTTGAACCTGAAATGTACGATCTTTAAGATATGAAATGATGACTTTTGTTATGTAATGTGGAAATTGTAAATTTATTAATTTATACAACAGTCCATCTGTCCAAATTGTATCGAAAGCTTTTTCAAAATCTATTAGTACAAGACCAGTGTGTGTCTTTTTGTTGAAATTTAGTACAGTATTTTCAACTAGCTGTGCTAGTGGATGCAGAACTGAATGCCCATGTTTGAAACCATATTGCGTTTCTGGTATGATATTATTAACATTTAAAAATTTATTAAATCGAACAAGCAGCAATTTTTCAACTACTTTGGTTATTGTATTTAATAGACTTATAGGTCTGTAGCGTTGTGGTGGATTTGGTTGTTTTCCTGGCTTTAATATTGGTACCACATTAGAACATTTCCATGACACAGGAAAGTATCCATTTTTAAAAATTTTATTTGTTATTCGTGTAAGTAGAATAATGGCTTTAATAGGTAACTGTTTAATTGCTAAGTTCTGTATACCATCTGGTCCTGGAGCTTTCTTATTAGACAGTTTCTTAATAATATTTATAACTTCCGCAACAGTTACTATCTCTATTTTGTGATTTTTGTTATAAGTATTGTTTATATATTGTCTTACACTGGAACTAACAGTCTGTTCAAAAACATTTTGAGTAATAGAAAGATTGTACTGATGTGCTAATTCGAAGTTAGATGCTAAAATTTCGGCCTTTTGTTCGGGCGTTGTTGCAAAGTTATTGGAATTTGTATGTAAATATGGTATGGGAGCAAAAGTTTGGGTCAGTCTTTTTGCAGTGTACCAAATTTTATTTGGATAATAGTTAATATTTGTTAGTTTATCAGCCCATATTTTATTACGATAAACCCTAATGTCCTCAGTAATTATTCTAGTAAGCCTGTTTAAATGTTCGTTGAGGAACGTGGCACCTGATTTTTGCCACAACTTTTTAATTTGATTTTTTAATTTAATTTTGGATATAATTTCCAAAGGTAAACTAATTGTTTGTGTTGAAGTGAACTTTCGCAATGGAATGGTTTTACTTATGGCATCAGTAATAGTAGTTGTTAGGTGTTTTACAGCTTGATCTATACTATCATTGTTGTCGATTTGTCTAGTGTGACATATATTATCATTTATTATTTTCTTATAGAGCAGCCAATTGGCTTTATTATAATCTAAAACATTTTTGTAGGATTGAGGATTGTCGTCAAGTGGGTTTGAGATACTTATAAAGACTGGATTATGATCTGAGTTAAATAAAGATTTGGTTATAGGTTCAGAAAGAATAGATAGATTTTTTGTAAGGGCTAAATCTATTGTACTATGGTCTTGATTTGGTATCGCAGGAAATCTAGTTGGAGTCTGAGGATAATGTAGTTGAATGGTATTATGATTTTTGTTTAAGTACTTAATAGTTTGAGTCCGTTTGTGTTATTATATTTACAATTTCACATTATGTGTTGCGCATTAAAATCACCAGCTACAATAACTCTTGGATTTAAGTTAAATATTTTATGTAAGTCTGCATGCAATAGTTTTGCAGAAGGAACATATATGGAGACAATAGTTATTTTACGTCCTCTATTGAACACATTTATAGCAGTAATTTCAGAGTGTTTTACAGATAGTAACGGTAGTTCTTCATGTCTGATACTAGCTTTTATAATTATTGCTGTACCACCCCATCCCGTCATGTTTCTGTCATTCCGGTATATTTTGTAGTCGTTCATGTATAATTTGTCAGTGGGTTTTAAGTGAGTCTCATTTATTAACACGATGTCTAGGTCCATTGTAACGATCGTTTGAGTTCATCAATGTTATTTTTTATTCCATTTGAATTAAAAAACATTATTTTTATTCCATACTTGTCAATTATGGGCATTTAGTAAGAAAGTTTAAAATTGTAGTATATTTTTCATTGCATGTCATGTTAGTATTTATAGTCTTTGTAAGTGCATAAAGTTCCCTGAAAATTTTTATTACCTCAGGATCTGAAAAAAGCAACTTGATTTGACTTATTGCAGCAAAAATGCCCTCGATGGAGTTAAAATCAGGATCTTGATTAGATGAAATTGATGGTGTACTTCTTTGTTCAGGAATAGCTTGGAATTTTGGTAGTTCCATCTGGACAGTGTGTCTGGCATCTCTCGGCTTCAGTGTTTCAGAATAGCTTCTTGTCATAGGTTTAGGTTCAATGGCTGCATGAATCTGTTGTTTTTTAGCCTTGTAATTCAGTAAGGAGGTACACTTTGAATAGTTTGCTGGGTGATAGTCTTTACAGTTAACGCACTGGGGCTTTTCTTCTGATGATTTTTGGCAGCAGCCAGGAGAATGTGCTTTTGTGCATTTAATGTATCTATATTTCATATCGCACGAGTAAGACGTATGTCCAAAACTTGAACATTTATGACATTGTAGGATTTTGAAATTTGCCTTATACATTTCCCATTTAATAATGTGACCATTTAAGTTCGTTATTTCTTTTACTTTTGGCATATCCTGCGATTTGTCAAGCAAAATTATATAAATTGGTAGATTATGTTTTGTCCATCAGAATAGGTTTTCTTTAATTGTATGACCTTTTGCACAAGAATACCTCGTACACTCAGTAATTCAAATACCTCTAATTCAGTAATTGCTGGATGTAAGCCTGTTAGTGTGATTTTCTTTGTTGTTTTTTAAGTGGAATACGTATAAAACTGGTAACTGCAATCTCTTAATGTACTCTTTATCTTGTTATGATCTACTAGTGTCTTAGTATAATTTATGGGTATGCGTTTTAATATATTGTATAGTAAAATTAACTTTCGTAACGTCTCTGATGTAGTTTATAGCCCTGAGGTCTAAGTTATGTTTTACTATTATTGGTGGTACCTTTTCTGCTATAGGTTTCGTGTCATTATTCCCCTGTATGACTTCCATTGTTTCCTGTTTTTGGCCACGCTTTCTTGACTTAACTTTTGTAAATTCTTCAAGTTCAAGATCAGTATCCATATCACTTCGGTCAGTAAGTGACTGGAACCTGTTTTCTTTTTTATTCTTTTTACTGCGTACCATTGTTTGTTTGTTATTTTTGATTTCTAGCCTTTTTATAGATTTCCTAGGCTTATGCCTAGGATTCTCTGTGGTGGGGACACCCACCTGACTGTAGATTTTTTTTATCTTCTTATAATAATACTTACAAAATATTCTTCAAAATAAACTAGCTTCTAATAACTTTGAAATTTCACTACACTCTTGCACTTCCGGGTCGTATACTACAGAAATGATTCTGTGAAGTATGATCTTTCGAGAGACAAACAGGAAGTCGAGGCGTTGCCTAACAATATAGGGTCTGTATTTTGGGGCCGGCCAGCGTATGAATTCCACAAAGTAAACACAGCATCGACATCTATTCCTACATGCGATAAGTACTTGAACTTCGGGTTTTATTCGATCGAAAAAGGAAATCCACGGAAATCTGAGGAAAACTAGAGTGACAAAGGGGTAGTCCAGGTGTATAACTGTTTGTGTAAAATGACGTTAACTTAAAGAATATTTTATTTAGATTATCATCGGCCCAGCAAGTGAATGCGAGGCTCACAAAAAATTGAGAATAGTCTCATTTGAGTGCCACCCTTCACGAAAATCTTTAGTAAAAGATGAAACATTTATTTGCTTTGAAAGAAAACTAGACAAGCAGATAGTCTAGGTGTTGTCTAACAATTTAGGGTCTGTATTAATTCTTACAAAGACTTCAATTACAACAACATGCTACAAATTATAAATATAAATATAACAATTTCAAATATATTATAAATAATATAATAATAAAGCTGCTTCGTTTTACAATTGTTGCAATTGAATTGTGATATTTCCTTCTATTGTAATATTGGAATTTTATTAAATAAGTAAAATATTTTTATATTATATTTCAAGTATTAACTTCGTATATTAACTTTAAATCGTTTAGAATATGCTTCTGCATTCAACATATTAGAAATAAATATAAAGATAGTATTAAAATATATGGATAAATAAATCCAATCAAATGACTTACCCTCGATATATACAGTTGACATATCATCCTATCGTAGGGTTTAATATCTTTCAGATTCTTTGTAAGATATATGCCACGTCCTTGGCTACCAGTGTCTGGCTTTAAAATATATGTTCGATATTTGTGACTTCGACTGTAAGTCATGGCCTCTGATAGACTTAAAATAAAGAAAACATTGTTAATTGACAATATATGTATAAAGCTTGTGAGCGGCATTTGCCTTGAGGCAAGTTGCAAAACCTTTCCCAATATGTGTATAAAATCGATTTGATAATAATTGAAATTTAGATTTAGAAATCGCGATGGCCTTGTTTGATCATTACAATCCTTTAAATATACATTTCAATTTGGTCCAAATTGTAATATTTAGAAATTTGCCGAGTTACTCAGCGACTCTATGGAGCGAAATCTCCGATAAAATAGAAATGTTACGGTATCGGTATGTTACGGTGCTTTCTTCGTATAAATTGGTAGTAAAAACTGTCAAAATGCTATGTTTCTTGATGTTTGATCAGCGGTTTTACACATAAAACCTAACTATTAAAAAGGACCCAAGTAACAAAGAACGCAATCGGAAGTAAATTACTGTTTTTTTTGTATTATTTGAACATTTGAAATGTTTGCACATTAGTATTAATACTTTTATGCATTATAACACTTATATTATAAAAGTTGAAAATATTTGGTCCTAGTTGGAACTTTATAAATGAACAAAATCAAGTACATTTGTTTTCGTTTTTTTAATATCAAAATATTCTCACTCACTCGGCTGGCAGGCACCAAGTTTTTGGAAATATATTATATTCCTTGGGAAACAATTTTGCCATTCTGTTTAAATTTCTTGCTAATAAATCCTTTCTGCATATTTCTAACATTCCAGGAAAATGATTGATTTTTTGAAATCTTTTCATATCTTTGGCACGTTCTACAGTTATACTCAAATCAGTCCAGTAGAGATTCCATAGATCGTCTTCGCCAACCTGAAAAGGAAATCGAGATTGTTTACTTATCAAAATAAATAAGATGTTCTTTAGAAGAAATAATTATATATATATATATATATATATATATATATATATTAAAATGAGTTGAGTCAGGCAATATCACCAAGTGAAAAAAAACTGGAGCAATTAGAAAAACAGCTCTATTAATTTACTTTCAGTTTTCATCGAGACTCAGAAAATCAATGTAATGTTGAAAGATATTAATGTGATCTGAAAGCATTGTTTTATACTGATTTTTATTTTTTGAATTATTTCTAAGTTTCGCCAATGTAAAATCCTTGGCAATTTAGACAATTTAATTTGTATACAAAATTACTTAAAATTTTCGCTTCGAATTTAGATTTTTATTTAGTGAATAATGTTCAAAGAGTGTGAATCTGAGGTAAAGATTACTCTAATATTATGTTTAATGAAAATTTTTTCCCATGCGTAGTATAGATCGTTTATGAAGGGTAAGGTAATAGTTCCGACGTAATTTTCGCGGTTTGGTTTTCCAGTTAAAAAGTTATGACGGTTTTGGAGGTATAAAATTCTGTTTTTGGTTATGGATTGGATCAAATATTGAGGATAAGAATTTTTACTTAAGATTTGTGATACTAATGAGAGGTTGTTTTTCAAAAAATTTGTTATGAGACAATAGTATAGCATGATCTCTATTAAGTTGATAATGGTGCCTATTTTAGTAGAGGGTGGTAGGAAAAATAGTTTAGGTATCGATCTGAGAAATTTGGTTTATCACACCTGCTCTACATATATACTTTTTATTAAATTTACTTCAATTCATCGAATGTTACTTGAAACTTTTCAAAAAGCAGGTCAAAGAAGAAATACTTCATTTATTTTCTATCTCTCCTCTCTCCTCGCAAAAATTTGAAAATTTTGTATAAGCTCAGTAGTATTATTTACAATTATACACAAAATCCTGAATCAAAAAAGAATCTGAAAAACTTGAAATGTAATCAATAAGTCGAAAGACCAAAAATGACTTGAATTGGATTATACCATGTTTTCTACAGAAAGTGTATAAAACTTCCAGTTTGATAATGATAAAATATAGACAAACTAATAGGATTTATAGTATTCAAACAACACATCCTTATGCACTTAAAGTATTATTTTTTTTGATTCTCTAGAAATTGTTTAGAATATATCTTACTTAGCAAAACAACGTTTGCCGGGTCAACTAGTATATATATATATATTTCATTTTATTATATGAATATAAATGATTCATTTATAATTACCTCTCGTAAACCAAATTTGGCAGCAGTTCTCCTGATGACTTCATACCGACAGTTGGAAGTGCATATAGTGACGTTGGGCCTGAAATTTTCACAAAACATCAATAATCCCTTACTAAAATTGTACTCTAAAACTGTTAATACTTTTTGCGTTTCTTTTTCTTATTTGCTGCTGCAGCAGCATCTTTTTCTTTTTCCTTTTCTTTGGTTTTACTTTTTTTCTTGCCTTTGACGCTGCTTTTTTTTATTTAACGCTTTGTCAACGACTTCGCGCAAATCTGTGCTTGGTTTGCGTGTAGTTACAGGAGTTATCTAAAAAATAACTGATGTAAGTGTTATATCTATTAGCAGATTGTAGAAACGTTAAAACTATATATAGGATAAGGTTGCTTAAGAATCGAATTATCAATAAAATCCATAATTCCTTTATTCGGTAGGAGTAAAGATAAGAAGAAAAAAAAATAATTTTTGATTTTTTGCGATTACATTACTATAACTTACCCCAAGGGAAGTTAAAAACTGCTTAACGATAAGGGAATAAACTAGTGGTGTCTGGCATCGTGCCTTAAGGCAAATTGCTGGAACTTCCCGTACCGTTACGAAATGGAATTCGAAGAATATTAAATGTTTTTAAAGCAATAAAACATTGTCTAATATTTATAAGAATTATATAAACAGAATTGCAAAGCTAAAATTATTTGTTTAAAGTATATTACAATTTTAGTCAGAATTAAAATTGAAATCTGAATTATTTTCGATATACAAATACAAAAAAAAAAAATTGAAAAAAAAATTTTCCTTTGAAAAAAAAAATTGAAACTACATTTGCAAAAGCAATTATTTTGTTGAAACAAGCAGAAAGTTCTTTGAATCACTTTGAATCATTCAAATCGGACGCTTGCTTCTCTGTATCTTCGAAATGACTGGACCTGCGGTTGTCAAAAACTAATCAGCACATCTCCCTATCAATAGGAATCGAATGTTTTTTGAACCATTCGAATCGATTGATCCGTGCGCCCGAAAACGTGAACGAAAAAATGCGGGCACACAAAATACACATACACACATATATACACACACATACATTTTTTCTAAGGTATGCCAAAATGTTCAAAAACCTTCAAAACGTGAAGATATGTAAAAATTTTCATTTTTGATTTTCGGTCCATTACTATAACTACCCTAGGGAAAGTTAATAAATGACATTTTATCCCCTTGAGATACAACAGTTTTTGGAATGTATTTCAAAGATTATTAAGAAAAAAAAAATGTCGAAGGATTTAGTTTTAAAATATTATATATTAATGTTCTTATAGAAAAATTGTGATTTCTATTTCAATTTAACAATGTTTCTGTTAATGTTGAATAAATTACTATTACTATTTTTATTATTATAATAAAATTTTCCACTGAATGAAGTGTAGAATTTTACCCAAAAATATTTAACGATTTTGAAATGAATTTTGAACTAAGCTAATCGTGAGTAGAATTTTGCCTTAAGAAAAGCTGCACACATACGATATGTTTAAATAATCGACCTAATCAGAAAAAATTAAGATTTAGCAACTTTTAAAATTGTGATAAAAAAATTCATGAGCTTATTTCAAAAACAAAATTTCCTTTTTTCACTAAAAACTAATCACAATATATTTCGATTTTCAATTGATATCCTTAAGACAAATTTAGAATATTTATGATTTTATTTATTCAATTTATCAGATATATTAAATGTTCAAAATAATGTACAACGAAACTAGTGGTGCATGGCATCGTGTCTTAAGTCAAATTGCTGGAGCTTCCCTTATTGTTATGAAAATATTCAAGAAATATTAAATATTGTCATATAAATTAATATAAATACTGTAACTTTCATTATTCGTATTTTGTAGAGCTTTTAAATTGGATGACGACGTTTATATATATTCACATGCCAACAAATAAATAATAAATAAACCAAAAAGTTATAATTATTTATTTTATAGTACATGTTATATAGGTGAGCTTTAGAGTTTTATCTTAAATTAAATTTAAAATCCGAATCATTCAAATTAGATGCTTCGTTCTCTCAAAAACTGCCATTTTTTGCACTTTTGAACGAAAAAGTAATCATGACATCTCCATATAATTATATATAATTATATGGAGATGTCATGATTACTTTTTCGTCAATTTATAAATCGAATGTTTTTTAAATGATTCAAATCAGATACTGTTCTCTCCAAATTAAATTCCATTTTCTGCACCCTTTGCTCCGTACTTCTGAAACGACTGAACCTGTCTTTGCCAAAAACTAATCAGTACGCCTCACTATCAGTAGGAACCGAATACTATTTTAATTTTAATCAATCAATCAATTGAAACAGTGGACAAGAACACACACATACATACATACTT